TAAATACTGCTTGAAGGAGCCAATAAAGTCTCCCGCAGACAGGCAAAGCATGACGTAGGACAGCGATGCACGAAAGGAAGGGGCCTCTTGTGGCTTTAAAAGAAAAGCTCTGGGAGGAAGCTGGTAATAGGGCCACCTTTTTGAAAAGGGACAATTTAGCTTTTTCTGCAATGGGTTGGCTGCCAGAACGCAGGTGTGAAATCTACCGTTAAACCTAAACCAAAATGGGAAAGGAAAAGACTCACATCAACATGGTCGTCATTGGACACGTAGATTCAGGCAAGCCTACCACTATTGGCCGTCTGATCTACAAATGTGGTGGGATCGACAAAAGAACTATCGAAAAATTTGAGAAGGAGCCTGCTGAGATGGGAAAGGGCTCCTTCAAGTAAGCCTGGGTCTTGGATAAACTGAAAGGTGAACGTGAACGAGGTTCCACCATTGATAGCTCCCTGTGGAAATTCGAGACCAGCAAGTATTAGGTGACCCTCACTGATGGCCCAGGACATAGAGACTTTGTCAAAAACATGATTCCAGGCACGTCTCAGGCTGACTGTGCTGTCCTGATTGTGCTGCTGGTGTTGGTGAATTTGAAGCAGGTATCTCCAAGAATGGGCAGACCCTTGAGCATGCCCTTCTGGCTTACACACTGGATGTAAAACAACTAATTGTTGGTGTTCACAAAATGGATTCCAATGAGCCATCCTACAGCCAGGAGAAATATGAGGAAATTGTTAAGAAAGCGTCTACAATTAAGAAAATTGGGGCAGCCCGGGTGGCTCAGTGGTTTAGTACCTGCCTTTGGCCCAGGGCATGATCCTGGAGACCCAGGATCAAGTCCCATGTTGGGCTCCGCGCATGGGGCCTGCTTCTCCCTCTGCCTGTGTCTCTGTCTCTCTCTCTCTCTGTGTGTGTGTGTCTCTCATGAATAAATAAATAAAATCTTTAAAAAAAAAAGTCAGCATCTACATTAAATTGGCTATACCCTTGACATAGTAGCATTTGTGCCAATTTCTGGTTGGAATGGTGACAACATGCTGGAGCCAAGTACTAACATGCCTTGGTTCAAGGGACAGAAAGTCACCTGTAAAGATGGGAACACCAGTGGAACCACACTGCTTGGAGCTCTGGATTGCGTTCTGCCACCAACTCATCCAACTGATAAGCCCTTACGCCTGCCTCTCCAGGACGTCCACAAAATTGGTGGTATTGGTCCTGTCCCAGTGAGTCGAGTGGAGACTGCTGTTCTTAAGCCTGGCTTGTGGTCACCTTTGCTCTGGTTAATGTTACAACTGAAGTAAAGTCTGTTGAAATGCACCATGAAGCTTTGAGTGAGGCTCTTCCTGGGACAATGTGGGCTTCCATGTCAAGTACATATCTGTCAGAGTTGTTTGCCATGACAATGTGGCTGGTGACAGCAAAAATGACCCACTACTGGCAGCAGCTGGCTTCACGGCTCAGGCGATTATCCAGGCCAAATCAGTGCTGGCTAGGCACCTGCACTGGATTGTCACACAGCTCACATTGCTTGCAAGTTTGCTGAGCTGAAGGAGAAGATAGATTGTACTGGAAAAAGGCTGGAAGATGGTCCCAAGTTCGTGGAATCTGGGGATACTACCATTGTTGATATGGCTCCTGGGAAGTCTATGTGTGTTAAGAGCCTCTCTGACTATCCTCCTCTGGGCAGTTTTGCTGTTCGTGACATGAGACAGATGGTTTATGTGGGTGTCATCAAAGCAGTGGACAAGAAGGCACCTGGAGCTGCCAAAGTCACCAAGTCTGCCCGGAAAGCTCAAAAGGCTAAATGAATATTATCCCCAATACCTGCCACCCCAGTCTTAATCAATCGTGGAAGAATGGTCTCAGAACTGTTTGTGTCGGGATCCCTGGGTGGCGCAGCAGTTTGGCACCTGCCTTTGGCCCAGGGCGCGATCCTGGAGACCCGGGATCGAGTCCCACGTCGGGCTCCTGGTGCATGGAGCCTGCTTCTCCCTCTGCCTGTGTCTCTGCCTCTCTCTCTAGCTCTCTCTCTGTGTGACTATCATAAATAAATAAAAATTAAAAAAAAGAACTGTTTGTGTCAATTGGCCATTTAAGTTTATTCATTCATTCATTCATTCATTCATTCATTCATGAGAGACACACAGAGAGAAGCAGAGACATAGGCAGAGGGAGAAGCAGGCCCCATGTACGGAACCCGATGTGGGACTCAATCCCAGGACCCCAGGATCACGACCTGAGCCAAAGTCAGACGCTCAACCACTGAGCCACCCAGGTGCCCCAGTTTATTTTTTTAGAAGATTATTTTAGGGCAGCCCGGGTGGCTCAGCGGTTTAGCATCACCTTCAGCCCAGGGTGTGATCCTGGAGACCGGGGATCGAGTCCCCCATTGGGCTCCCTCTGTGGAGCCCGCTTCTCCCTCTGCCTATGTCTCTGCCTCTCTCTCTCTCTCTGTCTCTCGTGAATAAATAAATAAAATCTTAAAAAACAAACAAAAAAAGCCAAATGCATTGTTTTTTTTTATCAGTTGATTTTTTTTTATTATTTATTTATAATAGTCAGAGAGAGAGAGAGAGAGAGGCAGAGACATAGGCAGAGGGAGAAGCAGGCTCCATGCACCGGGAGCCTGACGTGGGACTCGATCCCGGGTCTCCAGGATCGCGCCCTGGGCCAAAGGCAGGCACCAAACCGCTGCGCCACCCAGGGATCCCCAAATGCATTGTTAAACCTTCAGAATGAAAGGAGAATGTTTTGTGGACCATTTGGAGTTTGAGGGGGGCAGTTTTATTAGTTTTAAAAATCAATACTTTTTAATGGAAACAACCTGACCAAAAATCTGTCACAGAATTTTGAGATCCATTAAAACAAAAGTTTAGGGGCACCTGGGTGGCTCTGGTTGAGCATCTGCCTTTGGTTCAGTTCATGATTCCGGGGTTCTGGATCAAGTTCCACATTGGGCTCCCCACAGAGAGCCTGCTTCTCCCTCTGCCTGTGTCTCTCCCTGTCTCTGTGTCTCTCATGAATAAATAAGTAAAATAAAAAAAAACACAAAAGTTTAATGAGATAAACAAGAAAAGGGACAATTTATTATTTTTTATTTTTTATTTTTAAAGAATTATTTTTTTATTTATGATAGACACAGAGTGAGAGAGAGAGAGAGGCAGAGTGTGTCACAGGCAGAGGGAGAAGCAGGCTCCATGCGGGGAGCCCGACATGGGACTTGATCCCAGGACTCCAGGATCGCGCCTTGGGCCAAAGGCAGGCGCTAAACCGCTGAGCCACCCAGGGATCCCCGAAAAGGGACAATTTAAATTAACACAGATAGGAAAACTAGAATCTGTGAGGAAATTCTACATGATCTGGGATTTGGAACATCAGCAGTTGGCCTCAGAATTGTTTAAAAGTGAGTTGTCAGGGGCGCACCTGGGTGGCTCAGCCAATTAAGTGTCCTGTCCGCCTCTTGATTTGGACTCAGGTCATGATCTCAGGGTCGTGGGATCGATCCTGAGACTCCTGGGATCCATGGGATTGATCAAGCACCATGTCAGGCTCCACGCTCAGCAAGGTGTCTGCTTAAGACTCTCTTTCCCTCTACCCCCATCCCCCGCTGTGCGCTCTTTCTAAAATTAATAAGTAAATCTTTTAAGAAAAGCAAATAGTCAATCACTGAGCTGCCAGGTGTACAGGTGGTCAGTTAGGACAATGAGCCAAACTGAAGGTGATGATAGTGCAAAAAGAGGCACCATTCCCAGTCTTCTGTCTTCCCCAACTAGACAGTGCTGGGTGAGGGTCGGATAATGTGCAGGGCATATGGGTGATCTGTCAGGAACCCCAAATAAAAGGCTCCTGCCTCTTTAAGGACCACAGAAGGGAGAGAGAGAAGAGCTGGGGTGAAAGGTACTTCTGGAAGTGGAGAAAGTGCCACTCAGTGCCCTTAGTGAGGAGATGCCTAAGAGTCAGGGAGCTGAGCCCTGGACCACAATGCCCCCTAGAAACCTGCACCACACTGGCTCCTTAGTCCACAGCAGGATGTTGGCCCAAGCTCGACTCCTCACCACGCCGGGGTCTGTGTCTACAGCCCATGGCCTTTCCAGGTAAATCCATCCTCTTCAATTCCTGCTCCCCGATCTGGCTCATGCTGCCCATCTCTCACCTGGACCACTTGGACTCTCTCTGCCTGTAGCTTTCACATTTTTGATCCACCCTCCACGTCTGTTATTCTAAAACCTCTATGAATGACCTATCCCCACCCTGATGGAGACACTTTGGGGTGCCCCCCAACCAAGTTTGGTGAGCTAACCAGCCCCACCACTCTCCAGGCCTCCCCATGTGCTCTGGAGGGACCGTTGGCCTTTGTCCACCACACTGTGGGCCTTCCATCCTAGTTGGCCCTCACACCTGCCACCCCTGGGCCTGAACTGTCCTTCCTGCCCTTCCGTCTGTCCTTCAAGCTGCAGCTCAAAGTGTACCCCTTCTAGGAGTCTCCCCAGGCTCTGCAGGGCCACAGCACATTGCACACACCCGTGACAGGCTTTAATCATGCTGTGTTGTCACTGTGTGCAAGGTTCTGCCCAGTAGAGACTCCATCTTCATACCCTCTCACACAGGAGGCCTGCTGGAGATGCTGTGAAATGATCAGATGAACAAATGACTATTCCAAGTTCTGGCTCCTTTCGGTTTCCCTAGCCTGTCCCCCTTCTCCTTGACACCACGGCCCAGCCGGGATCTGAGACTGTGCTGGGGCCATACTCGGGATCTGTCAGCGGGTAAGGAGTCCCCATTCCCCTGGGAAGCCTTCCTGCTGGAATTCTGGAACAGGGGGAGTCTGCTGGTCATCTGCCAGACACAGCAGACAGCCCAGACAGCTGCGTTGTGGCAAGCCTCAGTGGTTGATTTAAAGAATCTGAGTTGAAAGTTTTTGCCCTCCTCCCAGGAAATTAACACCCTGACCTTTTTTCTGATTAAAAACTTTATTTCCAGAAGCAGAACTGTTTCAAACACAGAGTTCAAGGGGATCAGCCTGTCTGTAAAGCCCCAATTCCACCTTCCCAAGTCCCAGCCTCCCTAGAGGTCCAGAAACTATACGCTAGCTTCACCCCCGCCTGGAGCCCCACCTTTAGACCCCTCTTTCTCAAGGCTTGGACAACTTTCTCTCAGAGCTTAGACTTGGTCTCCCCGCTTGTCTCCCTTCTACAACTTTCACAAGAGCTCCATTTCCACGGGAAAGAGACCAGCCTCCAGTGTGCCTTCCTAGAGAGGGCGTTTCCATGGGAAACAGGAGGAGAGGCTCTGCGAGCAGCAAGGGGCCCTTCACAAGCAGCAGAGCTGCTCCACCTCCTCCTCACAGGCGTAGAATTTTTCAAATAGCTCAGGGGAGGTGCTGTTGCACTCAAGCCACCTCCTCAGCGTGCCCAGGGCCTGGAGGGCGTCGGCTTTGGTGGGCAGGGGCTGAAAGCTGTCCTCTCCGGCCCCCTGCTCGTCCTCAGTGCCTGTCTCCTCTTTGCACACTCCGGCCACAGGCTCCTCACCCTCCAGGTCCACAAAGCGGGCAAACTCCTGGAGGCTCAGCCCACTGGGGACTGGCGGCATCTCAGAGGCTTTTTCCAGGGACGGGGCCATCTTGCGGGGAGCCAGCCCTTCCTGAATGAAGCTGCTTACAATGAGCTGGGGGGGCACCTTGGCCCAGGCCGCCGCCGCCATGTGCAGCGCATCCAGCACCGTGATGCCCGCCCCAGCCTCGGCCAGTGAGATGCCCGCCCTCCTGCTCTGCACGGCGGCCAGCTTGCTCAGGAGACGGTGCCGGTAATGGGTCTTAAAGGCCCGGACCACAGAGCTGGGCAGGGAAGGTGCGCCACCGTCGGCCGACAGAGGCAGAAGCCTCACGTGGCTGAGTCCAGGCAGGCCTGCCAACTCCTCCAGCACTCGGGCAGCCAGCAGCAGGGTCACCTGTCGGCCCTGTTGTCCCATGTCCCTGTCAAACTGTGCCAGCCATTCTGACCAGGGGATGCCCAGGTCAGGGTGGTAGAAAGCAGGCAGAGCCTCACTGCTGACTCCAAAGAGGCACCTTGGCGCAGCCTGGAACCCACTGACCAACAGCCGGCGCTTCTCTGTTCCTCTGCTGTTGGCACACAGCAGCACCTGTACCCGATCACATGTGCCGCCCCCTCTGCCAGGCACTGCCCGATACAGCAGGGGCACTTCGGCACAGCCAAAAATGTCCTCTGGGGAAAAGTCTTTAAGAGAAAGAGGAGGTTGGGCCTGGGACGTGGGGCCCGGGGGAGGTGGCTCAGGGGGGAATGGAGGCGTCAGTACGTGGCGGGCCCCAAAGCCTACATTGTTCCGGCGTTTCCAGCGGACCAGCCAGCCAATGCTGGGTACAAAATCCTGGCCCATGATGTCAGCCAGTTCCTTGGCTTTGTGGAGCAGCATGGGCCCCGTCACGTCCCAGGCCTTGGCCCGGGCAATGTGGTACCAGCAGAGCAGAGCCTCGTCAATCCCGCTGTACTTGGACTCCCGCTTGCGCTTGCGCTCCCGGTTGGCTGTGCCACTGCACCAATCTGCCAGCAGCTTCTCCTTATTCTTGCAGATGCGTGAGATCTGAGGCTGGGAGACCTGGAAGCGCCGGGCCACCTCCGACTGGGACATCTTGGACTCATCCAGGAGTTCCAGCACCTGGATCTTCTCGGCCAGGGACAGGGCATGAAGCTTCTTCTTGCTGCTCAGCTCCATGGCTTCTCTGCAGCACCTGTCCAGGAGGAAACGGTGAGCGGGGTACAGATGGCCGAGGCCAGGCGAAAGGGAAAGGAGCGCAGGCAGGAAAAGAGAATATCTGAGGACAGGGAAGTAGGCTGGTGTGTGCGAGAGACAGGGAAGACCAGGCCAGCTGGGCGAGAGTGAGAGGGTACACTGGGTAGGTGTTCAGAGGGCTGGGCTGGAAGGAAGGGGATGGCTAGGCTGCGGGAGCAGTGGGCAGGGCTCGGACCAGGAGGAATGCCAGTACAGAGCTGGGGAGGGGGTGGCTCAGTGGTCAGAGAGAGGGCTGGGGTTTGCGGGAGAAGAATGAATAAAGCCATGGGGACAGCTGCAGAGACAACAAAGGAGTATGGATGGGGGAGGACCCGGGACTGAGGCTGAGTGGGGCAGGTGTAGGGGATAATGGGGGGTGGGGGAGGAGTCCCTGGGAGGGGGATGGGGATGATAGCCTGGGGGGTATTTAAATGAAGATGTTGGGGGCGGGGTGACGAGTGGATGAGCAGAGTTGAAGTGACAAGTGTACAGACGACAAAGAGGGACAGATGGGGCAGAAGGACGGAGGCTTATTTGGTCCTGGGTCCTGAGGAGGTAAGACTGGGCGGGGGTCCCACCCGGAGAGGGAGAGGGAGTGGTAGCACAGGGCCGAGACGGCAGGTGCACAGGCGACAAACAGCAAGAGGGGTGAGGAGGCCGCGGGCAGCGAGAGGGACGGCAGTGCCCAGAGGGGAGGGGGGTGGCCTGGGAAGGATACTAGGACGCGGGCACGAGCGCCTGGGGCCGAGGCAGGCCGGGAGCCGGGCTCCGCAACCTGGACGGCCTCTCCCCACCTCGACGCGGGGTCCGTTGGCTGGGCGTACCCGGGCGCCCGACCGGCCGGCCTCCCCGCCTCCCGGCCTCCCGGCCCGCACCCACCTCAGGCGCCCCGGCTTGGCCTGGCTCGGAGCCCCTGTCCAGGCGGGGAGAGCAGGGGAGGGACGGGCGCCACGGCCCGGAGTGGGCCGAGGGGCTGCGCGGGCGGCGCGCGGCGGGCGGCGGGCGGCGGGCGCGCGCACAGCAGGACCCCGAGCGCGCCGCCCGCGCCGGGCTCTCTCCCGGCTGGGAAGACCGCGGCGCGGCCGCCCGGCTCCCACCCGCCGCAGCCCCGCCCCGGCCCCACCGGATTGGCCCTCAATGACGTCCCGTCCCGCCCCCCGGCCGAGCCTCATTGGACGTCGGAGAAGCGGCGGGGCCGTCCTGGGGGCGGGGCCTCCGGCGCGAGGGGCGGGGAGGCGGGGCCGAGACCCTGCGGGAGTCCCCGAGGCTTGGGGCCGGAGAGCAGACCTGGCGTCTCAAGGCCTTCCTGGCCCTGACCTATGCAGTCGCAGCTTTCTCAGCTACCAAACAGGGCTAATACCCTTCACGGAGTGTTTGGGAGGAAAATGGATGAAAGCTTTAAGCCACACGAAAGCTGTTACCATGGACAGCGCTGGCCGAGGGTTGATCCGTCCAGCTAGGGATAACTACTTGCCTGGCGCCTGTAGTTATCCGGTTAAAACTGGAGCCAGTTTTAAAAAGTAGGCTCCATGCCCAAGGTGGGACTCCAACTTACAACCTCAAGATCAAGCCCCATGCCACCTGCCCCACGGCCCTGATTCCCCCTGATGTAGGGTGAATAAGGACGAATATTTTTTAGTTTTGGTACCTGTTAGCAAGATTCAAGTTTGTTTTTGAGAGGGAGAGAGAGAGTTGGGGCAGTGGCAGAGAGAGAATCTTAAGCAGACTCCATGCCCAGTGCAGAGCCCATTTGGGGATCAACAAGAGGCTCCATCTCACAACCCTGAGATCATGACCTGAATTGAAATCAAGAGTCGGATGCTTAACAGACAGGACCACCCAGGTGCCCCAAGATTCAAGTTTCTAAACTCAAGATCTAATACCAGTCCCTTCCTTAGTAACCTTCAGTTCTGCCTGTTCTTAGGAATTGAATGTAGGTATCTAAACCTGCGGTCAAGTGCTCCCCACTCTCAACTTCAGCCTGCTTTCCACTTCCTGACTCCCAGCTCTGATGAGAAGCCCAGGGCCACAGATAGGTAGGTCCCCATCTCTCTGCCTTACTCTTAGGCTTCCCTCCCCAAACCAATCTATGTTTGATCCTTCTTCTATCCTTCTATGTCCCCTCCTAAATCCGACCTCCTGCAAACCTTCCTCAAATTTCTTATGCCTGCTACAGTATCTTTGTTTTACAGTTTTCTTCATTTCTTTCCTGACTTCTAGACTACTGACTGAGCCACCAAGGATCACTGCTTTGCTCCCTCTGCTTCTGGCCTACTTCCATGTAAAAGCCTAAGGACAGGGGATGTGCTGTTACTAACAAGATTCTTAGCTCAGAGCACCCTGCTTACTTATGGCAATGGCCTAGACCACAATGGGTGCAATGGTTTTCAGATTGTTTCAAATAACCCTGAGGACACCTCAGGGACTTCACAATTGATTGATCCAAGTCTTAAAAGGTTTAAGAACTACAAAACACACTTTCAAGTGAGATACAGATCCATTATGGAAGCTGTCAAAAAAAATGTTGGCTGCAAGGAGAGGAAGCTCATTTTTATACATATAAACATGCCTGAAAAAAAAAAATAAACATGCCTGGAGGCAGGTGGCAGGGCGGGCTGAGTTCATGCACATACATGTAAAGGAAGGAATGCCAGGCAAGCAAGGTGGAGGGGTCTCCATGCTCCTTGTGCACAAAGCTTTCACATGTCTCACCGTGACATTGTCTTGTCATTCTTTTCTATTTATGTAAAATTAAGTTTCTGAACCTATTTAAAGTATCTGAAATCCTAAGATCAACTACCATAGAACTGTCACCACTTGCATATGTCTAGCAGAATTACCTTCAAACCAACCAAAATATATATAAAAAAAAACAGGTTGCTAGAATTCATTTTAACCCAAGGTTTACATTAAAACAACCTATCCTTTATAACAAGAGTTGTTAGAACATAAGTTTACATTAAATTAGAACAGGGGCACCTTGGCGGCTTAGTTGGTTGAGCATCGGACTCTTGATTTTGGCTCAGGTCATGATCTCAGGGTGATGGGATTGAGCTGTCTCCAATTCTGTGCTGGGTGTGGAGTCTGCTTGAGATTCTTTCCCCCCACCCTCCCCCTCTCCTCCTCCTCCCATTCGTGCTCGCTCTCCCTCTCAAATAAATAAAATCTTAAAACCAGGAAATTACAACAAAGTATTCAATTTTATATCTGCTTTACATATTGGGCTTTAGCAAAAATTTCAATCTGGGATTAAAAGCTCTATTTCAAAGCACTTAAAAACCACTGTCCTAAGGAAGAGAGTTTTAGGATGAAATGACTTTCTCAAGCAGGAAAAGGGAGTAGGGAGATAAACCATCCAGTAGGGAGTTCTGTGTAAAAATGTTTATTTGTACTAATGTTTAGAATACAGGAACTAAAGAAAGAAAGACACCTCAACTCCAAAGCGACAGTGAATTAGGGCCTGCCCACACCCAAGGAGGCCACTCCAGGGGGTCCTGGCATGGACTATCTCCCCCACTACTTCATGTCAGTGTCACCAGGCAAAAAACTGAGGAATCAGAGTGTGAAGACCTTAGCAGCTGCTAGTGAGCGTGCAAGGGAAGAAAGGGATGTCTATGCGGCTTCCCTATGACCCAGGAGCCAGTGGCTCCCAATTCAATCAAGGACAGGAGCTGAATGTCCAGGTCCAGGAAGAACAAAAAGGGGATTTCGGAGGTAGGCTTTTTCATCGAGTTAAAAAACAGGCACATTATCCAACATTTCCCTGTGGCCCCCAAGCTGCTGGCCTGGCCCCTTGACCCTTCCCCTCTCCCCACAAAATCAAAGGGAATAAGGAGGAGGCAGAAATTCTAAGGGCGGGGAATGCTTCGGTCATTAAGAAACCGCCTGTGAGCGAGCCAGGTGAGCACAAGAATCGAGCCAGGTGAGCACAAGAATCGGGTGAAGCCGTGACTCCCTGTGGGGTGGGGCACAGTGGGTCAGGGCAGAGCAAGGAGAGTGACCAAGAGCATCCTGGCTCAAAGGATTCTGGGTAGCAGGAAAAGAGGACTGTAGAGAGCCACTCTGGGGGAAGGAGGCAGAAGCAGCACAGAGGCCTGGGAGGCTCCTTGCAAGTGCTGCCTCAGCTTGCTCAGTTGCTCACTCCCAGATGCTTCTAGCAGAGAGGCCCTGGTCTGGCTTACCTCCAGGGGAAGTTAAAGCCCTGGGGACCAGTGTGGAGGCGGAGCTGAGAGGAAAGTGAGCTGCTCTCCCACTCCTTCTTGGAGGACACTGTTTGAACCCTGTGATTACCAAGGCCAGGGGCCCAAGGCAGGCAGAGTGAATGCACTTCACGGAGAGCAGTGAGAAGCTGGGCCACGGGATACCTTGGGGCAGTGTGCTGCTCCGTTCTCCCTGAGGGCCTAGGGCCAGAGGCGGTCAAAGCTGCCACCTCAGCTTACTGCTGCCAAAGGCAGATTGGCACGACCACCCGAGGTTCTCTGGACTTGTGAAAGAGGGGGAGGGGAAAGGTGGGTATGAAAAACAAGAGAGGAAGAGAGAAACAGCCCTAGATGTATGGGGGGAGCAGGGGGTGGGGGCGGGCACATCAAGAGGAGTTCTGGTTCTGGTAGATGGAAGCTTTCTCCTTCAACAGGTCCAGACACAAGTGGCAGCTCCAACTCCCTGCAGAGAAGCACAAAGGGGTCAGGATGGGTCCCACACAACCCTAATGTGCTGCCCTTCCACTCCCCACCTCACTTCCAGCAGGATCAGCTACAGGAAGGGTGGGAGATGTTCTGCAGCAGCACAGTTTCATGGTTATCCTGAACCAGAAGAAACCTCTAGGGCTTCAAAGATTATGAAAAATAATTTTCAGTAGTGATGAGGGAAATAATCATCTGGAGGACTACTTCCAAATACACTCCTAGGCCCTCTTGAATCAGAATCTCTATGAGGGCCTGGACAGATGGAATTTTTAAAAGCATCTCAGCTTTGGACTTGTGATTACAGAAGAACAACTTTGTTCTCATGGCCCCAAGGTCAGAATGAAGATTACAAATAGTGGTTTTAGAGAAACCAGTTTTGACTACACGTAAGACAGTTTTCTGGGAAAATCATGGAAAGATGAGAGGGGCCCCTCCACCCTCACCAGGTGCTTGAGAAGAGGCCGAGGACCAGTAACAGGAAAAGGGGACAGATGAACTCTGACGACCCAGTGTGTTACAGTCTGCCCCTTAGGAAAACTGGGAAAAATGTCCCTGACCAGAAAAACAAGCATTTCATAATTTGCTTATGGGTGTATTCTCCCGTGTTTTTTATAGAAACAAAGCTAGCTCTTAATGCCTCAAAATTGTAAGTGCAACTGTACATATGTTTATGTGAATGCATATGGGGGCAAGAATCCACACTCTTGTAAACTCTTCAGAGATACAGGGCCCTCAAAATGTAAGGAAGTCCTTTCTAACCCAAAGGTCAATACCACAGGGGCTGGCAGGCTTCTCTGTAAACAGCCAGCCAGAGTGTTAAATATTTTAGGCTTTGTGAGCCACATATAGTCTTGCTTCCATGTTTTTTTAAATCTCCTTTAAAAATGTAAAAACCATTCTTAGCTTATGAGCTATACACACTAGCTGCAGGCTATAGTTTGCTGATGCCCTGACTTAAGAATCTCGTGGCTTCTAGAGGGCTCTCCCTCAGCTGCCTGTAGCTCTTCACTGGCCTCTGACAGTACTTCAATAGGAAAGCCCTTCTACAGTTCATGGAGAATTTTGTCTGTAAATTGGTATTTTATGGTTTAAAAAAAATAAAAGAACACACTACTTCTCCCCAAAGTAGATTTATAAACTGGGCATGACAGATGACAATAGCTGTGTGCTCCCCTGCAGCTGCCAAAGGACTCTCAGACTTTGTTCATGCCTCCTTCCCTAGGGGGTTGACAGCAGTTTGACCTATATTACAAGTCAGCTTAACCACAGTGAGCCACTTTCTCTGGTCTG